CACACACACACACCCTCAAGGACATTAAAAAAAATTGAAAATGTTCAAACGTTTAGAGATAGGTAAATGAAAATGAAAACTACACAAGGCCTACTTCAAAATGTCTCTCTTAGTGACATGTTCTTTGAGAATGCATTCAGTTCCAACAAAACTATTGATTACTCCACCTTCAGGCAAAACCAAGTGCTCGATACTCCATACAAGCAAAAAAACGTAGATCTACCTGTCTGTCTGTCTGACAGTTTCAATGAACACGAGGGGGTGCTCGGCGTGCACGAGTATAAGAAAAGTTGTGCCGTGTTGTGCTGACTAGCTGAATCACCGCACCTGTTGTATGACGAGACTGGTGTCTGTGGTGTAGCGGTTAGGTGGCTGGCTGTCGCATGCAGGAGACCTGAGTTTGATTCCCCGAGTAGTGGGGAGAATTTCTATCGAGTAGGCAATCTCGGTCTTTCTGCTGGAACGAATGTTGTATCCCTCTCAGCATGGTTTGGTCCGCACATGAAGAGTCGAGAAGCCAAGTCCTAAATTATCTAAATTATGTCGATGGGAACGTAAAAACACCTATATTACAAAATAACAACAACAACAACAACAACAACAACCAACCCCCCCCAAAAAAAACCCCAACAAAACAAACAACAACAACCAAAACCAGAGCTACATTCTATAGAATAACGGAGAACTAGAACTATAGATCTAACATACTTTACAATGGATGTTGAGAAGTGAGAAGTAGACAGAGCGCGACAACTGACTTTATTTTGTTATTGTTGTAAAAAAGTTATCCCAAAGTGGGCGACAAAAGTACACTGACTTGATTACTATTGTTCTAAAGTTACCTTGAATATACAGCGAGCAAAAATATACACTTCATCATTTTTGTTAAAAGGTTACTCTACATACAGAGGGCGACAAAAATACTCTTGTTTATTTTTTGTTGTTTTGTTTTAAAGTTCCTCGAATAACACAGAAAGTTTTGGATTGGAACCCTCAGGGTAAGAGATAAAGGGGAAGACCGCGTGGAACCTGGAGAAGAACCACAGAAATTGATGTATAGAAAAGTGGGAAGACATGGAACA